TACTGTCGCTCCGTGGCAGTCATGTCAATGGTAGGTTATATACTTGGTTTAGGAGACCGTCACGGTGAAAACATCCTGTTTGATTCTTTGACTGGTGAATGCGTTCACGTGGATTTCAACTGTCTTTTCAATAAGGTGAGAAAAGCCCCTTGCTGAACTTGCTCTTCATTCTCCATGGATATAAGTTACAAATTTCTAACATCTAGGGTTTCTTTTCCACTGTTTTTAAAAATTATTTTAAAAGTATCTGTTGTATTATCTTTCACTTCCCTATTTACATCCAGCAAGCAATCTTGGACATGCAAGGAGTATGCAATTGATTTATATACTGGGTTAATGACAGACAGCTTTTTGATTTAGACAATCAGCTAAGCATGCTTTGAATAGATTTATATACGTTGAAATTATAGAGTATTGTTGGTTGTCTGTACTTGGGGACTCCCTTCACTGCCACCCCTCCAAACAAAGCTATAATTACAGTCTTTCTGTTCTTACATGCCTAATTCTGCTACTCTGAAGAGTTTCTTTCTTCTGTAACACAACACAGAAATGTATATGTTATATAAAAATAAACAGCAGGTATAGGACTTCTATACCCCTTTTTAATTCACATCAGTGAAGCAGAGGTGTTGTCAATACAGAATCTTGCTACCTTTTCAGAGAGCTTAAATTGTGTATATAACCTTTAATTATTTAAAAAAAAAAAAGTTTTATCAAAAAAAAAAATGGTTATATATGATTAGGGGGAAAAAGTCAGGTTAAGACTATGAGACCACAGGCAATAATATGTATTATTTGTGTACAGAGAGAGATTTAAATTTAGTTCCTGTATTACTGTTTTAAAACAAGAAAGTAGATGTTATTTAGAAACTGGCATCCTTTATTCATAGTAATTTGCCCCACCCAGTTGAGAAGGAACAGTGATCTGAAACATCTTGTGTCATCAAGGAAACTGTCAGACAGTGCTGGGCGGGATACTGTTGCTTGCTTTTTTTTATTGGTTACTATTTGTTTTAGTTAATGATGTCTAATGCAACTTTATTTTTATCAATTTAAAGGGCGAAACTTTTGAAGTTCCAGAAATTGTTCCTTTTCGTCTCACTCATAATATGGTTAATGGAATGGGTCCGATGGGAACAGAAGGTCTTTTCCGAAGAGCTTGTGAAGTGACCATGAGGCTGATGCGGGATCAGCGAGAACCTCTAATGAGGTATGACCCTGGATTTTGCTCTAAACTCTGATGGGGGGGAAAAGAATCAAGTCTATAGCCCAATAACTCAAAACAGTAACTATTGGTTAATAGGCCCATTCTGACTATGTCTTACTATGTCTAAGACTGACTGTGACGTGAAGTTAAATTTACATCAATATAAATATTCACTACTAGGTTTTTAGACTCATCTCAGTGCTTTGTTACTACTACAGATAGATGTGTTTATATACTAAAAACTTGTGCACAGCTTGAAGTATACTTTTTTCATTTATTACATAATTTTCTTAGTTCCTGCTGAATTAAATCCATATTCCTGCTGAATTAAATCCATATTTTTGCCAGACTCTGCAGAGAAGGGAGAACAATCATTTGATTGTTCTTTGAATATTTGGTACAAGTAAAAGGCTCCTTGTGCACAATAAGAATGAAAGCTAAGATACAGTGACACAGTTCTTTATCCGTATGTGACAGAATAGCGAAAAAACATAGTCTATGAGCAAAATCAATTGCAACCGTGTGTTTTTATCTGGAAAGATCGCTGTTATCTCTTGGATGAGGTTTATTTTCAACTATCAAAATGTTGGGGTCAGTTCTCTCTAATTCATTTCAGAATTTCAGACAAAGTCATTTAGGCCAACATAAATAGTATATACAAACGGTTTCAGCTAATACAGCAAATCTGTCAGAAGCAAATTAACAGTTTGCTTCAAAAGGTTGTGGGAGATGCCACTTAAAATTGATGAATGGCTGGGAAACATAGCATCTTCGATAGGTAATCTGAATTGCAGAAAGCACGTGTAATTCCAGGATCAACTGGCAAAGTTGCTTTAAATGACAGGTTTTAAGGGAGAAAGCAGAACTGCCCAGGAAAGTCCAGATTATTTAAATCATTGCATAAAACAATAGAGTTTTATGCTTGTCTTACAAGTTGTATTTTAGCTTAAAAAAAAAATACTGACCATCATAGGCATTATTATTTAATTTATGTCTTAAAAGAAAATGAATATAGGAAAATCATATGTTAAGATTAAAAAAAACACAGGGTTATTATACATTTATTTTTATATCTGTATTTATTTAGTGTCTTAAAGACTTTTCTCCATGATCCTCTTGTGGAGTGGAGTAAACCTGTCAAAGGGAATACAAAAGCACTGGTGAACGAAACTGGAGAAGTTGTCAATGAAAAGGTTGGTTGCAAGCAAGCTTAACATAAGACATTTCAAATTTCACAGTGTCTGTTATGATTCCAATATGGTTATGTATTTTCTGCTTGGAAGTTTAATTTTCTTAAGTTCTTCAATTTTAAAATATTCTGTCTTTTCCTCTAATCTCAATGTTAATAGTAGTCACCCATAGGGTATTATGATAGTATTTTTGATTGGTAGAAATTGTAGTTGTAAGGAGTGTGTGTATTTTTGTAAGTAACATTACTAGAACAAGGATATCAATAAGAGCAGTAGAATAAAGAAGACTTTTGCTTCCCATCACAGATTGTGGCAGAGTCCCCCAAATTTGCAGTGATGGTGATATCCAGAGTCTTCCCCATGCATATTTTTGCCCTTTTGGGGAGTGCATGCTTATTACTAAAAAAAAAAAAAAAAAAAAAAAAACTTATTAAAATAATTAGGGTTCTTTTACTGTTTATTTTATAGCTGCTGATAGATATGATATTAATCATCCAAAAATAGTATGTATTCTCTTTGCTTTATGCCAAATTTTGGGATTTTTTTTCCTCCTTAAAAAGAGTATTTAGTAAAAAAGACTGAATGTGTAATAGCAGATAACATTAAGTAGCAATGATGAACAGAGCAGCAAATCAAAAAAAAAAAAAGTATTGAAGTTATATTGCAACAAGAAGCTTAATTGAGCCATTTGAGCACAGAACATAATCTTTTGTTCAAATGTTTACTAACCAGACTACGTCAGCATAGCTTTTCATTTATTTGCAAGGCTACCCATGTAGTGTTATATATGTTAACTTTTTTGTTGTAGTTGGTAAGTTACATGCTTGAGGTTTGAATGAAAATGTTTCACTGTAACTTGTGTGATTAAGATAGTGTAAGTGGGTCTCAGAGCTGATTATTTTAAGTTGCTCATAAAAAAAACTTTTTCTTATGAGTTGTTCAAACAGGTCACTTAAATTTTAATAAGAAATTTTAGTTGCTCGTAATATTGTTCTGAATTTTCCAGACTACATACCTTGACCAAAATCTGTCCATTTCAGAGAATGATTTTTAAAAGTATTTGATTATTTTCAAAGTAAATTTTAGTTGTCTGGGATTTGCATTAAGATGGCATGCTTTTTTCAAATATCCTGATAAAGGTAACAATTTTTTTGAGTATTTTAATATATGGAAGTTTATGTAAAATACAAATTATTTTTTTCTTTGTTTCTAGGCCAAAACTCATGTCCTTGATATAGAACAGCGACTGCAAGGTGTAATTAAGACTAGAAACAGAATAAAAGGATTACCTTTATCTATCGAGGGACACGTTCATTACCTTATTCAAGAAGCAAGTGATGACAACCTGCTCTGCCAGATGTATATGGGTTGGGCTCCCTATATGTGAAATTGGTTCGTTTTGGAAAGATATTCACAACAATTTTCTTTAACAAAACATGTTAAACACTTATATTCTAATATACCACCTTTGATTTCTGATTTTTAAGTAGCTTCTGTAAACTGTAAATTTGCAGTATGTATTATAAAGACTACATTTGCTCATGTACTAGGCATGATGTTTTCTACGCAGCTGAAGGATGTGAACAGTTAAGACTGTATAATTCTTTGCAGGTGTTTCTTGTGTACATAATGACCATGATTATGTGAAAATACTCTCAAAGGATGTTGTATGGTAACTGTAAAAAATAATATTTTTTGTAGAGTTCTGGTACTTCATTCAGTTGTAGATTAGGGAAGTTGACATTCAAGTTTTTTACTGGCCTTCTTTAACTTGGTGCTTTCAGCTTTCTGAAGTCATGGACCTGAAGGGCTTTCTAAATATAGTATTTTGTTTTTGCAGTACAACTCTTTCTTTGATTGCCTGTGATATTTTTCCATGCGATCACTCAAATGTCTAAAACTTTATGCGGGATCTTATATCTTAGTAGATAGAAACCAGTATACTGTTTCCCTGTTTGGTAACTTCATTCCAGCAGAGGGAAGCTGGAGTGAGAGCAGCTGCCGCGCTGCCTCATTTTTGGCTCTGGATTAGTGTGATCTCTGTGCTTTTGACAGGTGCCTGTTAAAAGAGCCTTCTGACAGCTCTGTTAAAAGAAGGAGGAGTCGAACAAGTAATTTTTAAAATAATTTGTGTATCCTGTTTGTGATAGTGCAACGGGTGTGAGAGACAAGCGCGGGTCCCCGTTCGGCGGCCGCGGTGCCGTTACGGGACTCGCCGCCTCCCCTCCCTGAGGCGGAGGAGATGGCCGGGTGGGGATAGGGGACTGCGTCTGGCGCCGCTTTTGTTCCTCCGAGGAACTCGGCGGAGCTTCCTCGAGCGTTGTCCGCTTATCCAGAGATTTTTCCCGTCGCCGTCTTGGCCCCTGCTTTGATCTGTCCGTTGGGCAGAGGGCGCTTGCGTCATCCTCCATAACGCGGAGGCAAACGCGGCCGCTGCGGCCGTTAACGGCTGCCGCGGCGGGGAGAGGGAGGCGCTGCTCCGCCCCCCCATGGGCGGCGCTGCGCGGCCGGCGGCGGCCCGGCTGTCAGCGCGGCGCGCCGGAAGGAGGGCGGAGCGGCGCCCGCACTTGTTTGGGTCCGGCGGGGCGGCAGCGGCGGCGGCCATGGGGGTGCCCAAGTTCTACCGCTGGATCTCGGAGCGCTACCCCTGCCTCAGCCAGGTGCTGAAGGAGCATCAGGTGAGCCGAGAGCGGCCGAGGCGCCTCCGCGACGGGACAGGGTGGGGGAGGACGAGCGCTCCCGCCGCCGTGGCCGGGCCGAGCCGTGGGGCGAGCAGCGGCTCCGGTGCCTCCTGAAAGCGCCTGGGCCGAGGTAGCCGTTAACGTGTCGAGGGAGCGGGGCCTTAGCGCGCGGGGGGTGCGCGCAGCGAGGCGCTGTGAGCGGCACCCCGCTCCCCGCCGCCCCCGCCGCCTCGGCACTTGTTGCGCCCGGCGCCGCCGGCCGCGCTTCCTGCTCGCCCGGTGCGCGGGACTTCGCGTGGGCGGAGAGCGAGGCTGAGCAAGGCGAGTAACGCTGTCAACGGCCGGGCGGAGGGAAAAACAAGCCGTGCTTTGAGAGAGTCCTGTTGGGTAGCTGTTGGGTGCGAGCTCTTAGCTTGTCGGTTTTGTTTCCGCTTTGTGTTTTGGATGTGGCTTGAGAGGATATTCTGAGAGCAGTTAGGCAGTAAATTAAAGTGTGTGAGTGTTAATCCCCTGCTTCTAAGTAGACGCTAAGAGAGTAGTAGTAAGTAGAGACTCCTAAGAGAGTTTTAAAAGACTAGATAGCTATTGTATCCTTTATTCAGCGTTTCCAGACTTAAACTTTTGACTCTTTACTGTAGTTGCGTGAGGTAAAGCAGTTTTCAAAGAGTGTCTCTTTGCCTCAGTTATATTGGATTTCACTGCAGTGTCTTGTAGAGTCAGGTTCTGTAGTCCAGGCTGCAGGCTGAGGTTGGTGGCAGCTTGAGCTTTGCTGGAGCGTCGTGAGCTTGGTGTGTGTCTGCTCCGGTGACAGGTCAGGGCAGCACTGTGCGCATCCGGACAGCGGCTGCCGGAGCGCCTGCCGGGAGCAGAATGCGCCGCTTAACCGTGTGTGCCAGGGCTCCTGTCTGTATTCTGTCCCCTTCAAGTCTGGATAGTGTCGCCTGCATCTGACATACTTTTGTGCATGGTGCTCTCCAGTGTTCCTCCGTCTGGGGTGCCCCACTGCCTTTTTTCTTGAATATGTAAAGTTGTCTGTTTTTATTTAATACATTTAAGTAGCTTTGTTCAAGAGAGGTGGATGTTTTTTTCCTTTAGGGTAGGTCACCTGTCTGAGTTACAGTACTATCCGTAGCTATCTATTTGCTACTACAGGAGAAAAAAAAAATACTCAGAATGAAGATAATTGTTATATACATATAACTGTATAATATTCCTGCTTCTTTGAATATCCTTAGTTTCTGGATATATGCTGCTTCTGTTAAAAAAAAAAAAAAAAAAAAAAAAAAAAAAAAAAAACCACCACGATGTACTGCTTTAATTTTTCATCTCTTTAGAGTGCAATGCTGCGATCTCTCACTATTTGAAAGTGGTGCCTGCCAGGTCGATGTGGTATATGACCACGGTGTTTCATTCATGTCACGAGGCATAATGCTGTTTTGATTAAAATATTTGAAAAGTGATACAGAAATATCACTGAGTGTTCTTTGTCTGTCAAATGCAACTGTACTGAAAATTACGCGCAACAGAAGTTGTTGCTGATGACTAGAAATCTTTATGGTCTTTTCTCTTGTTTCTCTTCTTCGTTCCTGGCACTAAAGCAGAGCTGCATTTCTCTAAATTTTGGACGATAAATACATGTCTGACAATTTGTCTTTAGAAATTTTGTAGAGATGTTATCAACAATATTGAAAATCACCACAAGAAATGAAGTGTCTTTTTCCAGTTGTTAAGACAGGAGAATTTACGTATGATGGATCAAAGAGTGTGTTTGTTTACTGCAAATTGCTCTCATGTGTGTTGGTTCCTTTTGGCAATAAAAAAGGTAATTGCCTTTGTTTCACGTACTCAGCAGTATGTGCTGCATCTGGGGGTGCTTGGCTTCCACAGGTGGGAAGGACCTGGGTTGTTAAGTGAAGCCAAGAGAAATCTTTGAAACAGTGGAGTCGGCAGAAAAGCCTTTTGGAAATCATGGCGGGGTAATCATTGAATTGTTATTAAGCCTACAGCACTTGGTGGTAATTGCCACTTTTCTAGATGCACAAACAGCTTTTGGAATAAAGAGACATCACGTAGTGGTCATAATAGGAACTGGTTAGCTGGGAGAGCCCTAGAGCTTCATAAGCTCGCACTGCTGCAAAATAGCATTGGAAACTACATCTGTTGTTTAAAGTGCAGTGATGCAAAATTGTGTAAGTGAAAAATAATAATCAAAATTAAAAAACACATTTTCCTGACTATTTATTTATTTATTTGGTATTGCAATTGCAGGAGAACTGCAGCCAGTCATAGTTCCTTAGCCCTTTTCTGTACGGTCAATCGTGGGGAAGTCTTCCTAACTCAGTTCATTTTCAGACTTTATATTCCTCAGCCTTTGGTCGCAATTTGTCTTATTTCAGCTGTCACAAAACAGATACTAACTGTGTCACATTTTTAGATTCCAGAATTTGATAACTTGTACCTGGACATGAATGGTATTATACATCAGTGTTCACATCCCAATGATGATGATGTTCACTTCAGAATTTCAGAGGATAAGATTTTTGCTGATATTTTTCACTATTTGGAAGTACTATTTCGTATTATTAAACCAAGGAAGGTTTTCTTCATGGCAGTTGATGGAGTAGCTCCAAGAGCAAAAATGAATCAGCAGCGTGGGAGACGCTTTAGGTGAGGATGTTTGTTCATGTTCTGTCTTTACCATAAATATTAAAAGAAAAGGGAAAAAAAAACCCAACAAACAAACATGATATTAAATATATCCAATGAAACATGAAATAAATTCTGAGTAGTCATGCCATTGATAGTAGATACAATTTTTAGTTAAATGAAGGCAAGGCTTATAAAATGTTGATTCTTAAAATTGTAATTCAAAACAAAAGGAAGTTTGCTTATTATATTACTTTTTCTTTGTGTATGATTTTGGGAGTGCTTATTTGTTTTTGTTTTTAATATTTTAAATATCTTAACATCTTAAATATGTAACTATCTTAAAGGAAAAGAGTACAGTATATCATTTAAAACCACTAGTTTTTTTTTTCTTGCTTAGAACATATTCTTAGAATCCTTGGTCAAGAAAGGTTAAAATCATTTTGCTTTTCTCTATTACTACTGGAGAAAAAAATTATTAGAGCTGGGTGGTATCCCAGAGTTTCTGCTTTGTTTAACATGTTACCAAGTTGCATGATACTTATTCATCTGGAATAGCATTTTCAAGTATTCCAAATGTTCCCATTGTTTCAATATTCATTTGCTTTCATCGTGATCAGTCATAGAATGATTTTCTTGATAATCTAGATACGGTAATGACAGGTTATTATCTCTACTGGGGGAGAAAAAGCAATTTTTGAGTCTTCATTTGCACCAGAGACAAGGTAGACTGTTTTTAATAATCTTCTAGAAAGCAACCATGCATATTGGGGAAGACTGTGGTTAGGGCATTACCATGAGAGTAAATTGATTTCTTCCCTCCTCTACCCTACTCCCTTTTGTTTTAGATCAGCAAAAGAAGCAGAGGACAAAATCAAGAAGGCTTTAGAAAAGGGAGAAACTCTCCCTACAGAGGCCAGATTTGACTCTAATTGTATTACACCAGGTAATATAATCTGCTAACGAATTTCAAAGAATAGATGTGAAAATAAACACTTAGAAATGGCTATTCATTTATCTTTGACACAAGTTATTTTTCTTACTGTTTTTTACTAATTTCTATCATGTGTAAGTGCAATCTTGAATGACTCTTGAAATGTTTTGTATATAACTTGTAGATTTTTGTTTTCAGGAACTGAATTCATGGCCAGATTGCACGAACATCTTAAATATTTTGTAAATATGAAGATTTCCACAGACAAATCCTGGCAAGGAGTAACGGTCTACTTATCAGGCCATGAGGTCATTGTATTCTGTTAATGATTTACTTAAAATAAATTCTTATTTAATAGCAGAACGCATACTGATGAACTTTTTTAATGCAGACTCCAGGAGAAGGAGAACATAAGATTATGGAGTTTATCAGAGCTGAAAAAGCAAAACCCCACCACGATCCAAACACAAGACACTGTCTCTACGGTTTAGATGCTGACTTGGTATGTGGAATTAAAATAAATGAGCAGTGTCTGTAATTGTGTTGTTCCTTCAAATGTCTTTGGTATATTGTAAGTATAGGAAGCACTAAAATGCTGTTAAACAAGCACATATTTTTTATTTTAAACTTTTGAATTTATAAAGAAACAGAACAATACATAAAATTTCTTGATATTTCTCATATGAACAGCAATTTTAAAATGTCGTAAAACCTTTTTAACATCTCTCTCTAACAGATTATGCTGGGATTAACAAGTCATGAAGCACACTTTGCACTCTTAAGAGAAGAAGTCAGATTTGGTGGTAAAAAATCTCAAAGGTGAACTGATTTTATCTGTTTTATTCTGTGTATGATGAAGTGATTGAAAAGATACGGAATCATCAAAACTTTTTTGTGATTTGCATTTTTAATTATAAAGTCATTGTTTACTGTTTGCTAGAAAAATGTGCATTTAGAGAAACCAACTTGTTAGGTATATGAATTAATTAGCAAGGGAAAATGAATGTTTTCAGGTCAACTGTTAAAAATCTTTAGAACTTTCGGTTTCTTGCTGCATACTCTGAATGGAGCAGCCCTGGCTGAACTGACAGTTTACATAATTGTTTAAAAAAAAAAAAAAAAACCACCCCACACCATCACCACCACCAAAAAAAACCCTGAAGGCCCTCTCTATATATCTCTGTGACTGTGCATGCAAACAAGTTACTAGAAGAATTATTAAAAAGTGGCTGTGTGCTCCTGTTCTGGGTTTGCCCATTTGAACTAATTTGTAGATTATGATCAGTCAGAAGAAAGCATTTTATTCCAGAAGTTTTCAGGTGAAACTGTTCTACAATAATTTAAATACTTAAAGCAGTTACTAATGCTGGTGAAGTCTGTCATGTTTTGGTGGTTGATGTTGGCATTTAATATTAAAACTTGGGTTTTAAGAATGTTAAAACTAAGATTGCTAAACGAATATACGTCATATTAAAAGAAAATGTCATTTTCCTACTGTTCTTTTAGGGGGAAAAAAATCCCTCCACCTTTTGGTGGACTGGTGGTATATATATACTGTGAATGAAAAGGCGAGATCTCCTAGTAGCATTTTTTTTTGTCAAACATTGCTTTGTGTATGTTCTGTTTTGTATCTGGAGAAAATTGCTCATTATAGGAATTTTGTCTGTAACTTTTTAAAAACCTGGCAAATGCACTTCTCTACTTCTGTCACTGTCACTTTAGTGAGCGTTTTATTCATGGAAAAATTGAAAACATTCAAGTAGGTTCAAATTGGCATCTGGCTCTTGGCAACTTATTGGTTGAGGGAAGTTCATTGTTTTGAATGAGGATTCTCAAGTCCAATGCTATAAAAAATAAAGGGATAAAGGACCCTTATAGGATCGCCCTGGATTTTCTAGAATTCTTTAATTGTAGCATTACTTTTAAAGTGACAGAGTTGGGTCTGATGATTCACACAGTGTAGCTCAGGCTTGGCTTACTACTTTTCATGTAGCTCTAGGTTTCATACACATGAGCTTCGGAGAGCTTTGGATCATGTCAACTGTGCTTAGGCACACATGCACACACAGTTGCTTAGGCTGGCTTGTCCTTTGAAGTGCTCTTAGATAGCTATAGTATCTAAAAGTTGAAATAGTCCTTTCCAGTATAAAGCATATCAAAGTCTTCAGTTTGCTAATCTTAATAACCTTTTTGGTTCGGGTATTAGCTAATTTTAGTGAAGAGAAGGAAAAATGAATATATACTGATTTACTTATGCCAGAAATTAAGAGTAGATTTTTCATTTTTGCACTATGATATCATGTTTTAAAGCTACTAAAGTATGCATTTTGAGAATAGTTTTAAACTTTCAAACTGAGCTTTTTTAGCAGAATTTCAGAAGTCTGAGGATTTCAATGCCTATATAAGCTAGTTGATTTAGACATGAAGCTTTGTGCTGTACATGTACTCAGACTAGTTCTGTAGTATCAGAAGAAGTATAATGATGTGAGGTTAGGTGAAGTTGTCCCTTCTTTCAGAGAATAGGATAATTTCCTAGTAGCTAGTTATAATAACACAGAACTAGGCAAAGCTACTAGGTTTTCTGTAAACTAGCTGTTTTCCATAGAGTGCAGTCACATGTGCTGTTTAGAGGATTCTAAGGCAAAATTTTTTAGACTCAACTTTAAACATAAAATAATGCATAAATAACATTTTTATTTATGTCTTCTGAAAAAATACAATCCTAGTATAATTGTGTTTTTAGATAACTTTGAACTTATTAATTACATATTTTGAAAGTATTCATAAATAATTGATTTAATACTTTAAATAAATTTACAGAGCATGTGCACCAGAGGAAACCACATTTCATTTACTACACTTATCACTAATGAGAGAATATATTGACTACGAATTTTCACCAGTAAAAGTAAGTTCTAATGGAATAGTGAGTAAAAAAAAATGTGAACACTTTGTATGTAAACATCATGTCCTTATTTTTATTTTATCTTTTTTTTTTTTTCAGGACAAAATATCCTTTGAATATGACATAGAAAGGATAATAGATGATTGGATCTTAATGGGTTTCCTTGTAGGCAACGATTTTATCCCTCATCTACCTCATTTACATATTAATCATGATGCACTGCCGCTACTTTATAGAACATACATGGCCATCTTGCCAGAATTGGGAGGTAAGTAGGAGTGGAAAAAAATGACTATGGAGAAATATAACTATGAAACAGACTAGGGTTAAGTATAAAGGTTAAATTTAAGTACCATTTTTCTAATATTACAATAATGTCTGATAATCCTATCTGAAGTATAGTTTTAATCAAAAGCAATTTTTTCTTCTTTTCCAGTCTTCAGCTGTCTCCATGACTATTTGCATTTTCGAAAATATTGTGTTTTTTTTATTGTGGAATGGGAAAGAACAAACGCATCCCTGAGCTTTACTGTTGTTTTAACCTTCTAATAGAGTCTCTGAAAGATACAAAATCTTGTCATTTACCAAAAGATTACTGTTTAATACACCATTGTTATGGTAGTTAGATTTGAACGTGGATGGGTTTTTTATTGTTTGTTTTTACTGCTTTTGCTTTTTTTTCTAGGGTGATTTTAGCAAAGTAAATATATCTTCAAGCACTGGCTTGTTCCGTATGCTGGTTGAGAAGGTGGATTTGCACTAAATAGTGCAATAAATAGAAGTCTTGTATTTTCTGTTAAGGGAATTAGTGTGGTTGCTCACCATATACTATTTTCTGTAGAACATCAGGGATAGTGAATGAAGAATAACTCCATGTATGTAGAATTAAAGTATAAAGAACTGTAGTCTCTTGGTTTTATTCAGAAAAGCCTCCTTAAAGAAGCATGGAAACCAATATTGTAGACTTTTTTTTTTTAATTATTTTTTGGTTAAAATATTATGAAGGGTGTTGGCAGGAATAATTGTGCAACTGCTGCAGTTTATTGATCTTCATCATTTTAGAAAACTTAGTATTGTAATGCCTTTAGCTGGCAAGGTTGCATTGTAATATTTATACTGTTTCTAAATTGCAGTTTTAAACCTCATTTAGATTTTAATAAAAGGAAAAACAAAAACAACAAAAAAACACATTTTGTTTTCTAAACAGGTTACATAAATGAAAATGGACATCTGAACTTAAAACGCTTTGAGAAGTATCTTTCAAGATTGTCAGATGTGAGTAACTTGGTAATTGTACTGTGTAGAAAGGTATTGTTCCTTATACAAAAAATCCATTTAGTGCCCTAAAACATATCATGCAGTTTTGATGAACTGCTAAAAGACTATGTTTACAGTTGGTAGCATCAACTCTTTTATCTGGTCAGTTGTCACCTGATCTTATAAGAGGAAAAAAGAAAATCTTGAGTATTTATGTACTAACTAGCACTGAGTAAGAATTCATGGTAGAACCATTAACCATTGACTAATAAGCAGCAATAATGAGTAAAGTATTCTCCAGGAAGCATCATTCTTTGCTTCCCCTGCTTGACTGAATTTTAATTTCTTGTGGGTGGAAGAAGTCTTTGTAGATCCTGAGTACAGCATTTTTTGCAAGTTTTTAATAGAGATTACTGTTTGGAAGCAGTGAAGTATTGAAATCTGGGCAGCAGCATTCTTCATGAAACAATACTAACTGTCATTCGGGAGGAATCCTGTGAAGTGCTCTGCATTAGTCCATCCTAGACATGAGAAGTAGTGTAGATCAGTCCATAGAAGTGGCAGTGCCATGGCCCTTTGCTAAACTCAAAAGGAGAATATTCACCTGCTTCTGCCTGAGAATCTTAAAACAGGGCTGATCTGTTAGCATTAGATATGTTGCAAAATACTATGTTGCTCAGATCCTGTGTACTTCTATTGTTTGTAAAAGTTATTAACTCTTTTTGTTACCTATTGCTACCTGATAGAAAGAAAATAGGACTTGCATATATGTTATAGTTTCCAAGAAAAAGAAGCTGATCATGTTAATCTCTTAGATTAGTTGTAGCTTGAGGGCAAAATACTTGTGTACTAATGGTTGTAATCTAATGCACTCATTAAAAATGTTGCTAATTTAAATTTAATCTAGATTCTGTTGTCCCTCTAGTATTTCTGTGTTAACTTTAATCTTTCTGTGCAGTTTGATCGTGAACACTTCAGTGAAGTCTTTGTAGACTTAAAGTGGTTTGAAAGTAAAGTAGGCAATAAATACCTCAATGAGGCAGCTGGTGTTGCAGCAGAAGAAGCCAGAAACAATAAACAAAAGAAACATAAGGTTAGTGTTTTGTGTGTCTAGTTCTGGAAACAAGAATGTTGTTATTTCTATCAAAACAATAATATACCTGTTGCTGTAATTTAAATTTTTTAAAAGTCGAATGGTGTAAGTCTCAAATTGTGAGTTTTGGGGTTCTTTTGTTTTTATGATTTGGAGATGAAAATAATAGTAGAATGTAACATTTGAGGCATTGCCTGTATGCTTGTTGGTCATGAGCGATGAAATGGTTGTCAAGGTCAAGTTCTTTCTGTTTGTTTATTTTCTACTACATCTTGCAAAGCCTTAACTTAACTTATTTTGGCAACTTGCCTGGACCTGTACCACTGCAAAGCTTCTGGGTGAACTGTAGTTAAACTTGCTAAGCTTTAAAATTTTACTTCTCAATGCAGAGTTTGCTGGAAGTTTCTTAAATTTCTCACACTGATTGATCATTTGTACACATTGAATCCATAGTCTTGCTATTGGCCAACTCTTTGGCAGTGAATAAACATCAGATTGATTGATTGTGAGCTGTATCAGATTCATTACAAATTTGCAGTTCTATACATAACTAAACAGCAGGCAACAACATGTTTTTTAGAAAGTTCCTTTCTCTGTTTTTTTGTATCTGGCCTGCTCTCATGTTTTTTAATTTGTTTTTCTTTTTTGTTGTTGTTTTCCTGCTGCACATTTGCTGTCCTTCAATTTATGCCTTGCAGTGGTCATATTTTTCAATGATAGTGCAGCAGTACCAGTAGGAAATTCCTTCAGGTTTAATCTGTCATCACATATCATTGCACTGAAGAACAGGACAGTTGGAAACTTGTAAGAGCTAGCTTTCCTATGATAAGCTAAATACTAGATTATCTATGATAAGATGTGCTGTATGCTGTTTTGTTTTCTTGTTTGCCAGAGAAGTTTGGAGTAGCTATATAGTTAACTACCCATCTTGACTGGTCCTCTGAATGGTAGTGACAGTCAAGAGCTTACCTATCTCAGGTATAAGGGAAGAGGGCCTATTTAATGACTTTTGCTTATTGAAAGCTAGTCAATGCTCTACATAAGAGTGTGTAGCATAAGAATTAAGTAGTTATTTTGCCTGCATGAGTCTGCAATGTTTCTTCTGCCCTTATTTCCCAGAAAAGTGATCTGAACTTGGTTAAAATGACCAGATTTTAAACAAAATGAAACGCAAAGATGGTTGAGGTTTATTTGATATGTATGTTCTTTTGTCAGATGTTTAAGGATTTAATAATTTTCCTCAAGCAATTACAATGAAGGATTTTTTTTAGGAGATAATATTAGAAAGAAATAATCAGACATATGTATCATGATTACAGTATTTAGAGTTGCAGCCTATATGATTATGAATTAAATATGTGCATGTTTATATTTACTTCACCTTAAATATTAATTTAATAGGCTCAGGAAAATTCTATATGTTTGGCTGCTCTAGAAAAAAATGAAGATGAAGCTATGACCTCAAAAAGTAAGGACTCTCTTTTTATCCTCTTGGACAGTATTTTCATCCTTAAATTAAAGGAATGAATGAATAAATCTCAAAGTGTTTATTTAAAATTATTTGCCTAGGTGTTTTGCTGTACAGATTGGGATGAATGAACAGATTTGCTGTTTTACAATTTTGTATGATTTTTAGGGCAGTTGATTGTGTTTTTAAGCACACTCCACTTGTAAGAAATGTCTTCTATTCCTATAATGGCATGATGTCATTGTACAATATTTATAGATCTGTGACACTAGACAGTGTTGTTAAATTATCATATTTTTTTATAAAATATTTAAAATTTAAAAATATATTTTTATGTTCTCTTACTCTTCTTTGTTGTTATAAATAGACTATAAACAGTGTCCCTATCTAAATTTAAAACGAAAAGAAATCCAGCCTTCTTCCAGTTATTTTTTGTTTGATGTTTTGTGGTCCTTTGTGTACAAGCAAAAAACAAGTACTTTAACTGAATTGAGGAATAAAGTTAAAGCATCAAGTGAAAATAAATGTCTGGAAATCAGGACATCTTTTTTTCAAGCACCTTATTTTAGCAGAGAAGTTAATGCTAAGACAGTTTTTCCTGACTTCTTTTCTAGATACATTGGAGGATGAACCAGAAGATGATGATCTTTTTGAAACTGAGTTTAGGCAATACAAGAGAACTTACTACATGACTAAGATGGGTGTAGAAGTAGTTTCTGAGTAAGTCTATGCTGAATTACTTTTTTTAAGCACCAAAGACAAGTCTTTCCTTATGTGTAATGTAAGTCAGGATATTCATCCATGCTGAACGCAGAAGAGAACTCTTGGCAGTGACTGTAGCTATGATGTTTCTGGCTGATGCAAAAAGACATAAGTCAGGTTTTCGTAACAAGTATTTGAGGGCCAGAGAAAGAATACATCAATACTGAATAGTCTAGAAAGCTGTGTGTTTAATAGATTCCCAGAATGTTCTACCTTATGTACAAAGAGGTAAGTCGTTTTTATATTTGTATAGCTAATACTTACCCTCTCTGTTTAAGTGACTTCCTGGCTGACCAAGCTAAATGTTATGTCCAGGCAATACAGTGGATTTTGCACTATTATTACCATGGAGTTCAGTCATGGAGCTGGTAAGAAAAATGCAATTTTCACATTTAATGTTTGAAACGTTTAATATAGTTCTGCGCATTTCTGATTAGTAAACACTGCAGCACTGCGATTAACTGAACAGTTTTTCTTCTGTAGGTATTATCCTTATCATTATGCACCTTATCTGTCAGATATTCGCAACATCAGTGAACTCAAAATCAAATTTGAACTGGGAAAACCTTTCATGCCATTTGAACAGCTTCTTGCTGTACTTCCAGCAGCTAGCAAAGCCTTGTTACCTAAATGTTACCAGGTAGGGATGGAATTTAATGGTCCACTCATCTTTGGTTTTTTTTTTTAAGTTTATCTTGAAGAGGTTCTTTTATATATGTGTGTGTGTAAATATATTTTTACATATTCTCTTAGTTATCGCTATAGTCTACCTCTAAATTTAGATATGCCGTTAAATACTTCTATTTCTTACTATCTTTCATACATTGTAAATTAAGTTAAGTCAAATTAAGTAAATTAAGTACAAAATTGCTCCCTAAGTTCCATAAGTAATTTCTGCACTGAATAGTTAAACAGTAGATGTTTAATTCCTCTTCAGATTTGAGTTGGCTTCAGTATCAAAATTCTTTTATCTCTTCCTGAATTAGTATTAAATTGTCTATGAAATTATTTGATCTTTCTATTGTGTTTTTTTTAGCATTTGATGATTAGTCAAGACTCTCCTATTATAGAATATTATCCACCAGATTTTAAAACTGACCTAAATGGCAAACAGCAAGAGTGGGAAGCTGTAGTATTAATCCCATTTATTGATGAGGTGAGTTCTTTTAGCACTTGATATCTATAAAAGCTTACGTACAAATGTCTTGCCAGTCTCATTACTTTATCTAGTTCTTTTTGAATTGCAGTTAAATGGAAGTTTAATGAACTTTTGATAAGACCATGAAAACGTATAAATGTTTATAGTCTGGAAACTGAAGGCTAGGTTAAGTTTTCACAAGCATATTTTGCTTTGACTGGGAAAAGATTTGGGTAAGGAATATGGGCTTTCTTTTGGTTGTTTCTTCTTGGTTTTAGGCAGATAATTGTTTAAGACTTTTTAAAATTCCTTTCTTAAAAGCATAAAAATTCCGTTCTTAAGAGCATAAAAATTCCTTTTCTAAAAGTAAAAGAATAAAAAATATAGCGTCTGTAAAACCTTTAGGAACTTTTAGAAACATTTTTGGAAATATCTTCATCCTCCAAAGCTATTCCACTGTAACTGTCTGGCATTCCTGGTAGCAGGACACAAGGAAGGGGAGACTGCATTTAATGATCATGTTAACCAGAAAAGTGCATGCATCCACCTTCCTAGGACAGAAATTTTTATGAACGTTTTTGTTGCCAGTTTCACCTATATTTATTTCTTTTAAATTTAGAAACGGCTCCTGCAGGCCATGGAATCATGTAATAAGTGCCTAAAGGAAGAGGAGAAACGAAGAAATACTCACAGTGCTTGCTTAATGTACTGGTATGACAAAGATACAGAGTTCAAATACATGTCACCGTGGCCAGAAAAATTCCCTGCAATAGAAAGGTGTCATTCCAGGTAAGATTGATGTGACTATTTTAAAATAGACAAAAAATGGTTACATATTTGTTCTAGCATTTTAGCCAACGTTTGTATCTGCAGATGAATGCATAGAAATATTTTGAACATCACTTGTTGTGGGCAGCACAATAAAATTACTTGTCTCGTTTCTTCAGGCTTCACTTTGCAAAACAGATGAACCAAAGTTATATCAGCAAGAGCACTTGAGAGAATTATTAAACTTTGTGTAATGCAAGGTGAAAGACTGGTATAAATATTGAATGGTAGTGGTAATTTATCAGCACCTTAATTCCAGAGTGTTTGTCAACCATTGTAAATGTCAGGATCTGAGTCCTATGCAGCGAATTAAATAAAAGTGTTTTTCTTATTTTCCTCCCACTGAAAGCAAGCATCTTTCTTTAATACCAGCTAAGGTGTCAAGACTAAGTGGAAATAAAACATTAATAGTAATTAAACATAAGCAAAATGATGGATGTGGAGTGGAGGAGGAATTCTGTTGCAAGAATGCATTAATGAAGAATAAAGTATCATAGAATCATTAGAGTTGGAAAAGACCTTCAAGATCGAGTCTAACCATAAACTCTTTGAGACACCCAACCTGCTCAACAAAATAGCATGCAATGAAATAGCATGGATTTCATAACCCGTTGTGCAGGATTTTATACAAATGGCTCAAATTAATTGCCATTTTATCAGAAAGCCAAAGAGTATGCCAGTTTGATAAAGTACAAAATTGCTTTCCTAGAGCCAAAGGTGAATTTGTATAAGGACAGTTTGTTTATTTTTTAGGTATAAAACAATTCCTTTGGATGCCTGGCATGTAGAAATAACCCACAATAAAATAACTAAAATCAACAAGAGTGCATTATATTTCTGTGGATTTCCTACTTTAAAGCACATTAAACATAAGGTAAATGACTTTTCTACTCCAATATTTTTATTTAATAAATTACCACAGAAGATTTCAAATAAGTTTCATGTACTTTCTTTTTTTCTTTCCTTACACAGTTCTATCTTAAAAAAAGTGGTGTACAGGTGTTTCAGCAAAGCAGCCATGGAGAAAATATGATGTTAGAAATCATAGTTGATGAGAATCCACAAGAGCAGGTAAGTACAAGCAACAATCAAATCTGATATTTTGGTTCTTTATTGGTAATGCATTAGAAGAGAAAAATATTTGGAGTAATACTAAAATGGCAAAAAATTCAAAAAATACAGCAAGCATTTCTTAAAATCTCCTGTTTAAATAATAAAATAATCTACTGGTTAAATCATAAAAATGACTCTAGATTTTTTTTTAAATTGTTTAATTAGTAATATTTTGATTTCAATTTGAGCTCTAGGTGTTAAGGTTGTCAAAATTAATTTTTGTTAATTTATACTACATAGGCTTATAAGTAGATGATTTTGCCTCCCATTTCATATGGTGAAACATAATTGTATGCCCCAAAATGAGTGAGTGAATGAACTGCTGGAGTAAGAAATCTGAAGGGTCTTAGCTGCCAACCCAAAGTTGAGACTGTAACGTGGGAATTTTCTTGATGTATGTTTAGACTTTAGGTACTGCTTCTTTATTGCAGTAAGATGCAAAAGTAGAATCTATAAAACAAAGTATTTCAGCAATCTCAAAATACATTTTCAGTCTGAGTATTGTAATTCCCAGAGATACATATAGTTTAAAGTGATTTAGCAAAAGACACAGAAGTGTAATCCGGAAATGGAAGCACAAACTTTAAAATTAACATGTGACAAATGTAAAAAGCCTCACCTGAAATATGATATTCACTTCTAAAAAGTGAAATAGTTTTCATGATTTCTAGACAGATAGTATATGTAGATGATATCAAAATAAAATTAAATAAGCTAAAAAGCTTTTTTTGTCTGCAAGAAATGTTCTTTAAATAGAGTAATTATAAATGCAAATACATTTCACATTTTAAAAAAGAATCATTTTAATATGCTAAAAAAAATAACTTTGGGGTTTTTTGTTTGTTTACTCCAGACTGTAGAAAACGTTGCCAGTTCGGTACTTGGAAAGCTTGTTTTTGTTAACTGGCCACACCTTGAAGAAGCCAGAGTTGTTGCTGTGTCAGATGGAGAAACCAAGTAAGAAAGATTTTATAAATCATTGAAAACAAAGCTTATGTAGTGCCTTTGGAATTTTTTTTTTTTTTTTTTAAGTATATATTCAACAGTAAATTGAGACCAGATAGATCAAAAGCTGCTTAGTGACAGAAGTTTTGTTTAGAATCATTTGGAGGTTTGTGTGTCAAAGCCTCTAGTATTTGCTCTATTTCTGCAGAAATTTAGGAGACAGATTCTTATTTTGAGGAGGGAAAAGAACATATGAAATCCACACAGAATAACATAAAGGAGAACATTTCCTTAGAACTTTGCTTATATATACACACACCTATATGCTTTATAAAAAGCGCACAGCGTGTCTGTTGTGGAGCAGATAGAAAAATCTCTGCTACGAGTTTTTCATATCTAGAGTAACTTCTAACTGCTATAAGTTCTGCTTACAGATGGTTATGTCTAAATTATTCCTATTTGGGTAAATCATACCTGTTAAAATATTCTCAAGGTTTTTTTTGGAAGAACCGCCTGGAACACAGAAGCTTTACATGGGAAATGCAGTGCCGCCAACTAAAGTGGCGTATGTGGGAGATAAGGAACAAAATGTATGGTTAAAAGAAGTTCAAGGAGTTTCAGAACAGTAAGTAACTTTGAAAGTCAAAGTGTAACTTTGAATTTTATGTCTTTACTATGTTTGGTTGCTGTATTATAGCCTTAATTAGCAGGCCAGAGTTTCTACCTTTATGATTATAAAGGCTAAGGAGTCCACAGGAACAAAAGAACATAAAAATGAAAACATCTATCTCACAATGTGTGGTGTTAATCACCTGGTATTTAAAATGAAATGATGTTATGAAAGAGTTTTCAAATGAACTCAGTCAATTTTCTTATGCCAGACTTAGTAATTGTCAGTTGTACGTAATGTATGAGTTAAGTTATAATGTGAGTTATACAATACCAAAGCACAACTTTTAATAGCTTAGTGTTGTTATATTTTATTACAGTTCACACTTGCAGAGTGTGGATGCCTACTGGAACTCACCTCAGTTAGAGTACCTTGATGTATTGATGTGTCATCATTTGATGTGTCAATTGAATTAAATGCCTTAAATGTCTTTAGTGCTTCCCACTGTAAAGCTAAAATACATTTAAATTAAAAGAGGCAAGCAATCTATTAATGCTCTTAAAGAGATTCTGGTGTGTTTTAATAAATAAATTTGACCTTGATTTTTATATTATAATAAAACTAAGTGTTCTATTTTGTGCACAGTTACCAGAGAAGAAAAGGAATAATTATTCATGAAACATCAGTAGTTGTTTATGCTCAGTTACTCACTGGTAATAGATATCAACTGAAGCAAAATGGTGAAGTTTATTTGGAGAAACAGTGGTCAAAGCAAGCTCTTCCTTTTGTTTACCAAACTGTTGTCAAGGTAAATATACAACTTCAATATCTTCTTGTATATAGCCCCTTCTTCCATTAAGAGACAAAAGAACCAATGCTCCTTTAAAGCAAATGAAACAAAAATTAATAAGCATCTTAAATTTGTGTTATTTTTTATAACAAAAACATGAAATGCTTTTTTAAACTATTTAAAAAGGAATTTTGTGCAGTGAACTTTTTGTCACGAACTTGGGACCCTATTGCATAGTTCAAAAATCGTGCTGAAAGAAAAGCTCCTATTTTTTTCTTTAATAGTTTTTTGAATTGGTTCTATTTTACCAGATAGCATAGTTGCTTTTGTAACTTCATTTATAATATAGCCTTAATTTCACTGCCTTTAGAGATTCATTTCAGATTTGAAGATAATACTTTTTAAAGCTTTTAAAGTAAGTACTTACTTATGCGAGCTTGTTAATGATTCTACTGGAACTGAACAATCTTTAACTTTTAACAGTATGAATTTTGTGTTTTTTCGTATAGGATATTAAAGCCTTTGACTCTCGTTTTTCAAACATCAAAACTTTGGATGACTTGTTTCCACCTGGGAGTACTGCCTTTATGCTGGGATCTCCTTACTATGGCTGCATGGGAGAAGTTAGTTACTAGATTTTTTCATTTTTATTTAATTTCCTTTTCTTTTTTTCTACTTTAGATTTTTCAAGTCTAAAACGGTCAAAGGTACTATATAGTAGTATACTATAGTGTATATGTATATAGTAGTATACTTTACATTTTGATAGCTTTTTTGGTGATTTAGCCAGTGTAGGGATTCTCTTTTCCCTAGCTCTGTTTGTGAAATAACAGGATAAAGATTATATAGTTTTAATGCAGAATTGTGTTTAGTAATTGTTTGGGATTATTTTCAATAAGTAGAGATCCTCTTTGGTACAAATTTCAGTCAGTGATTCCTTTAATGCTCTTTAGCTGGATCTCTAATGAAGCAGTGTATGTCAAAGAAGGCAGTGAATGCCAAGCATCTTTGTGCATACTGCACCTATTTATTTATTTATTTTTAAAGAACTATTTAATGGGTTTTGTTACTCCTCAAGGTTCAAGATTCACATGATGTGATCTCGGAAGGTAGAATTCGTGTGGTTTTCAACATTCCATGTGAACCCCAGCTTGATCCCTTAATTCAGAACCAGCATGTAAGTGCTTCTAGTTTTGTAGTGTAAGCTTAAACGTACTCTGCAAGTCTTAAAGGGATGCTTCAATATTTTTTGTTTGCCCTTTGTGTGAAAATCCTTATCCTTATCCCTTGGGAATAGCCGATATTTTTTGTTTATCTGTTTTTTAAAGAAATATTCTGTGAAATACAATCCTGCGTATATTTTGGCCAGTCGTCTTGGAGTAAGCGGATATCTTGTCTCCAGATTTACAGGGAGTATCTTTATTGGAAGAGGATCAAAGAAAAAGTAAGTTTTTATCCAAGTATATTTGAGTATTTTGATTGTAGAGAAGCTTGAAAATTCTAATACTACTCTGCAGAAGTTCTGTCATGTCTAAACATGCTGTTTTTCTGTACAGCAATGTATAACTGCGATCTCTAATTTAAAACTTTCTTTAGAGTGTATTTGTTGTAAACAAAATTCCTGTGCAGTGTGTTTCCCTGCTACCATATACGTATTCATCTTGTTAATTGTTGGTTACTGGAGTGTTGCCATATTGACTTTAACATTCTAGAAGGGTAAAAAAAAAATGCCTTTCCTAGTTATCTGTTTGCATAATTCAAGCAGGAGTTTGACTTGACAAACATTTTGGTTCAGTTATGTCTAAAATTTATTCTGATTTCATTTAAGTTCATACCTCTAACTAATGGTTAATGTTTGAGTAATCTTAAACTATTTTTCACTGAAAAAATAGGATTTAAAGATAAAAGAACACAGACATGATTTATGCTTCAGACTGGAGTTTCAAACAGCATCTGTGAACGCTGCCTCGTGCCTGCCATCTGGAAGCTGGGCAAGAATTGTGTTCTCATCATCAAAGCTAAAATTTCCCTATAACTCTGAAAAACCATCATCGAGTTACAGAGCTAGAGAGAGGGCAATGGGAACAGCATTAGAAAAGCTATGTGACAGGTTATGCACAGATGGTTAAAATCCCTTTGTCCTGGTAAACTTGCTTTATTGTTTTTACATGCTGCTCAAAGGTGCAGAAGAGCCCAAAGCAGCATGTTTCAGCAGCTGAGATATGCCAGCCAGTTGCTGAAAACTGGCTCATGCTAATTCTTGTCCTCTCTGAATACTTGTGGAGTCACCACAGAAGAGAACAGGAATCCCAAAATATGTGGAAGCCCCTTCCATAGAGATGGGCTGTTCCTCAGGCACATAAGAAAAATGTCCGTTCTGCACACAGCTCTGTCAGGACATATAAGAGAGAAAAACTAACACAAATTCTGTAATGCGTCTGTATCTGTGTTTCTGCAGAATCTCCCAAAAAGGAGTTGATAGTAGGTGAAATCAGGCTCCTGTGGTTTCTATTACAGCTAACAAAGAAGGAATTGTTGAAGGTTCATGATTCCAAGTATTTTTATAACAATCTTTCCTACCTCAGGCAAAAAGTGGAGGAAATGGTGACTTTTTTTATTAATGTTATAAAGAAAATAATCTCTACGTAGATCATTGGACTAAAATACTTTTTCAGTTGAGCATTTATTTAGATTAAAACTCTTTCTTAGAATTCTCCTCAGTGGAAGTTCTCTGCAACAACCAGTCGGTGGAAGGAGACACCAAAACGCTATATTCAGAATTTTGCTAACCATTTGGGAAAATTAGTTTTGATCTGATGCAGATCGAACCGTGTAGGGTAAAGAAACGTATACATACCTTGTCCTCCTGAGAATGAAAATGGAATTGAGGTCTAATTGTACTTATAATTAAGGAATAAAAACTGCATGTGTATTTTTTTAACAGTTAAGATTAAACTACTTCAGCATATGAGGGAAATCCTTATTTCTCTGAGTGTCAGAACTGATTTCATAGAACAACTCGCTAAAGTAGTGTTTGATACACAAGCGTTTTCTTCTGACTTAATGTGTACATGTGTTCCACTAATGTTGAGGGGTAAGCTGCTTCATCATAGTAAATGGCAGGTAAATCTTGGTTGGTTAGATCTCCTTTAAGGAAGGGAAAATATTCCCTACTCTCATTTACAGCAGGGTAAGATAGTCATAGTACAGCAGTATCTTACCCTGCTGTGGTAGGACAGTGGATGTCCTCTAACTTTATAGCTGTTGTGTGCTAGTAAGTAAAGAGTTCAAATGAATTTTTATATATTTTGTGTCTAAGATGTGTGTGTGTGCATGCACGCATGCATAGGTATGTGTGTATGTTTTTGCAAGTTAATGAATATTTTTTATTTCTAGTCCTCATGGAGATCACAAAGCAAATGTGGGGCTGAACCTGAAATTTAATAAGAAAAACGAAGAAGTTCCTGGCTATACTAAGAAAGTTGGAAATGAATGGATGTACTCTTCTGCAGTAGAGCAACTACTTGCTGAATATTTAGAAAGGTTAAGTATTGAATATGGACTTCATCTAGACTATGCAATCTCATATCAGTTGCAGGATTTTGTCCTTCTGAACACAGATGTTGTAAGAACTTGTGAGGATTTTTTGGCAGTTGCTTGATCGAATTTCTTTCCTTCAGTGTCCTCTCTTCCCAAGACTGGACATATTACTTCTCAGCAATTATTTCTCAGTTTTTCAGTTCTGGTGAAGCATACTTGGGATAGAATGATTTTGTCAGCAGCTTACATTGACAAGTGAACAATTAGACGTGAATTTTAGTAAAAAAAAATATATATATTTATATCTGTTTATATATCTGTTTACATCTGTTTATATTTTAGAGCCCATCATAATTTGTTTTGGTCAGGTGCTGAAGTGCTTCTGGGCCATAGGTGAAATGAAATCTGTGTTCTGCTTATTCAATCCTTAGGGTGCCTGAGCTCTTCAATTATATATCCAAGAATAGCCAAGAAGACATATTCTATGAAGATGACATTTGGCCTGGCGAGGATGAGAATGGGTAATGCTGAAACTGGGGGTGACCATTTGGTGGCTGCTGATGAAACCTTTCTGTTCCTTCATATTGTTCAGTGATCACTGATAAAATTATGAACATGTGTGTGTGTTGGGGTATCAAAACTCCTGTCTCAAGCAAATGATAAATTTAATTTTCAGTGTCTACTTTTACATTTTGGTTTTAAAATACTCTTCAATATTACATAGGTGTAAAGTAATCAGAAAGTCACTAGAAGATCATTTTTGAAAAATAAGCAGTAGCTATATTAGAAGTTTAAAGTGATTTTCAATATAAAAGATAATGCACTCAGTGCTCATTATGCATTCAGCCAGTTCTATGCAGTTAGTTACTCTGTTTTCACATTAGTTCACATAGTTGACCAACTGTGTACGTACTTAGTCAGTTGGTATTTACATTTGGAAGCAGAAAGCAGAAGGATATTTCAGAAAAGAAGACAAAGAGCAAGCTTAGTTTCAGATACAGTGTATTAATCATCAAAAAGGTTTCATTGCTAGCTAGCTCAAGCTGCTGATAGGTCCAGGTTGGTAAATCTGCATAGTCCTGCACTGTGCAGGACTTCACCAGGTGGGCATATCATCATAGGACTTTTCTAAGAATCTCAAGATTATGCTCCATTTTACCCTGCACACCCTCAAGTTTGTTCTTGTGTGTTGTGAGAGACACTTGGTCACAGAACCTTTGATCACAGCCAGACGTGGTTAGTTTTTTGGATACAAAATTAATTTCTTTGCAAATTATTTGGAGATCGTAAAGCCTGCATTTGTAGTCTGCAAAGCCTTTAGTAAAAAAACCTTCAGTAGGCTTTTCAGATTATTTTTACAGACTTTTTTTTCTTTCCCAGAAGATACACTTATGAGGCAGTGTTGAATGATGCACTTGTGGACTTTTTACTTCACAAATGTATATGAGCATTGTGCCTATGTTGTAGTACATATCTGAAAAATCAGGTAACAGTAATGTGCTTAGTCAGTGTAAGTGATTTTAATAAACAGCCTTTCTACTTAGGGCTGAGAAAGTTCAAGAAATTGTTGCCTGGCTAAAGGCACATCCTGTGTCTGCTTTGTCTCGCTCATCTTGTGACTTGCAAATTTTGGATGCAGCCATCGTTGAGAAAATTGAAGAAGAAATAGAGAAATGCAAGGTATGCAGCTTGATACCATTGTGAACAATCATGAACTGAAACACAGCTGTTTGTATTTTTTTCAAGTTTTTGAATTAGAATAAGATTATGAAAGATAATTTATTCCTCCAGGGAAAAATAATACAGACTAATTAAGGACTGAATTCTTAGTATAGATTGTCACAGGAATTCAGAGGAGTGCATTAATAATATTTCTGTTTGGGCACTTCCTTTTTGACGTGATTGAATAGCTGTAGGCTGTACTGTGAACTCCTCTGCCTTTTGGTGATTTCAGAAAGGAAAAGATAACAAATTTTGAACAACTCAAGTGCTTTTTCCAAGTGCTGTCTGAACTTTTCTCCCATTGTAGTTGTCTTTGATATGAGGAAAAGTGGGTAGTAGCTTTCTCAGGGAAAGTTATTACAGGAAAAATTGAGGGACAAAGCTACATGAAATAGTGGGTTGCTTTTTTTTTGAAATTGTTGAAAGGACACGAAGGTGTGAATTGATGTGAATTATGGAATTGGTCAAACAATGAAAACTCTGCAGTAGAAAGTCAGTCGTGTTTTTAACAATTGGATCTAGTTATCTTAAATGTTTCATGAAAGCTGTATGTCTTCAAACAAAAGAATGTCTTCGCTGTGTCTTCAAATGTTTTGTTAAACCTGAAACCCAGATTTAATGACTTTCTTCTTTTTCTTTAGCAGAGGAAGAGCAACAAGAAGGTGCGAGTAACTGTGAAACCTCACTTGCTATATCGAGTAAGTGACATCAAAAGGTTTTAGTTGAAAATGAAAATGTCCACATAATGTTTATTTTACTTAAGTGTAATTTGATCAACATTCAAAAAACAGAATTGTACAGTATTAATTGAAAAAAAAAATTACTATGAGTCCTAGAAAATCATTTTGAAAGGGAAAGATCTCTCTCTCTCTAGAGAAAAAATGAACTACAGACTCCTTCATGTATGGAAGGAGTCAGCAGACTCCTTCATGCAGGCTTCTATGGTATTATAAGCAATGCTAACATAGACTTTTGGTTATTACAGCCTTTAGAGCAGCAGAATGGAGTTGTTCCTGATCGAGATGCAGAGCACAGGCTGTTTGATCGTGTTGTCAATGTGAGAGAGAACTTTTCTGTTCCTGTTGGTCTTCGAGGCACCATTATAGGAATTAAAGGAGGTAATATTTTCCTTATGGTTAGAGTGTTATAGCTATACTATAGCTAAGCTGTTGTGAAAACAGGCTGCAGAATAGTGTTTTGTATAATGGTAGTGGAAAAATTCTCAACTAAGAAGCATATGCAGTTTGGAGTCACTAGTGCCATATTTTCTGTTGTGAATTAAATTTTCAGGTCATCTCTTGTAATTTCATTTGTTAGGCCATTGTACTTTGAATACAAAATTGCTTACCCTTTGTTCGTTCTTAATGTGATAAAGTCAGGTAGATCAGTGAAAAGGAATAAGGACTGAAAAGCGAAAAGTAAATGAAGTAGGATATAGACAAAAAGAAATTGAGGAAGAAAATGGAACCAAGTATTTGTCCGATTGCTTGCACTGAATATAAAATTCAATGTGATTTGTATGTCAAATTGTTTTATTTGGATTTTGAATTTTACCTCATGGAATTCTATATCTGTTACACGACTTGTATTTATATCTCGTTTGACTCCAAAATTGTCCACAAGTCTCTCTCCAGGTAAACAAGAGGATTCACCAAAGCAAATGTTACCTAAAAATTTGAGACCTAGTGATAAAATTGTCTATGTAGCCTAGCATTTTGGCTTTTATTTTCTCATTTAGTACGTATCCAACATAATCTTGAATAAACTGGATTCGAGGTTTTTTAAAGCTATATTCTTTACAATTATTGTATATTGTAACAATTTCAGAGAAAATTAGACACTTATGTGAGCAATATTTAACCAAAAGGTATTGTTAAAGCTGTCAGTAAAGATGGCTTATATCTTCTTCCTGATGCTTTAATACCAATAAGGCAGCTATGACGTTTTTAAGACGCGTACTGCTTGTTCTAAGCTGCAGTTCTATGAACAAGTTGCTGTGCATGGTATGTTTCTCTTAAAGGGGTACTTAAGCAATAGCTGCCTTTTTTTTTTTTTTTTAAGAAGAATTATTAAATTGCTGTTAAGTTCTTCATTCAAGGAACAATACGTCTGTTGCTGATAATTTAGAGGCTTTGGTCTCTTATTGCATAAAGAATGCAGAATTTAAATTACTTAGCTAAAATAAGCACTGTCACATATGCTGAATAACACTTTATTTCATTTTCCATAGCCAGTAGAGAAACGGATGTACTCTTTGAAGTTTTGTTTGATGAAGAATTCCTTGGAGGTCTAACTATAAGGTTTGTGTATGGAATTTCATAGTAATTTCATGCCATTGGCGAAACATTCATGCCATATATTTATGAATATTTTTACTTCTTTTTAAGCTTTTGCTTCTGAAAGTACTTACTTGTTTTTTATATTTTGAGATTCTCTGTGGGTAGGGATTATTTTTATGAAGCATGGTATATTTTAGAAATGTTCTTTAGACTTTTTTGCCTGTTTAGAAGCTATTACCTTTCAGAAAGCAGACGTGAGTTGACAGACTAAAGCTCTAGTTCCAAATGTATTTATAAACATATAAGTATGAAACAAATTACTGTTAGTATGTTTTTAACACATAGATTTAAAAAAAATTGTTTTTCTGAAATAATGACTCAAAGATATCTGTAATTGATGTTTAATTTAAGGTTTAATCATTTGTTCAGGAGGTGGAGACATAGCTAATGCATCTGTCTTAAAGTGTGGTAACTCTTACATATCTATATAAGCAGCTATTACCAGTGGCTTTCATTTTACTGTTGGTTTTAGATCAATTGCATTTTTATATGACAGAAGTTATGAGGAAAAAAAAAAGGTCTGTTCCATGAGGTTAGCAATCATAACAATCCTCTTCCTTGCAAAAGAGGATTTGTTCCTGAACACAAATCATCTAGAGTAATCTGAGATTCAGAATCATTGGGGCAGATATGCAACTGACTAAATGTGGCTTAATTTGAATTTATAATTCTGCCACCAGCTTGAATTTTCACCTCAGCAAAAGAGAAATATGTCCTAAGTGTTTCACAGAAGTATTTACATACAGGGCTATGCCGTAAAAATTGCCTCACCATTAAAATCACTTTGAGCTGAGCACTGAAAAGCACCATGTGAGTTAAAAAAAGTAGTAGTAATTGTTGGTTGCAATGTTTTGAAAGTCAGAGGTAGAAGTGAAGCTCAGTGTGACCTACATTGTGTGTAATGGTACTGGATTTCAATACGGGGTGCAGTTTTCAGACTGTGCTAATCAAACTTGAATCATTACATTTTGGCATACAGGCAACACTGTTGTTAAATCTGATATATTGGAATGTCTACAGTTAAATGAATTAAAGTAGTGATTTAATATGCCTTTTTTTTTTAGGTGCTCACCTGCCAGAGGTTATCGTCTGCCATCAAGTGCCTTAATTAATCTATCTCATGGTAATCGGTCAGAAATGGGAAATCAAAAACTGACTGCCATAGTTAAACCCCAGCCGGCTGTGAATAACTACACTGCATATGGATCTGATCTATCATCCGTAAGCTCCCAAAAAGGGCACCTGGGAGGTCTCAACCATTCTCCTCGTTCCCTTTTTATTCCTACTCAAGTGAGCATTTTCTGTTTTCTTTATGCATAACTCAGGGTCTGTGGGAAAATATGATGGTGGTTGTTCTCCTCGTTGGTACTTACAATTTCATTTATAAGTTGATAATTTAGCATTTAGGGAAACTTTTATTTCAGAAATATCACTTTATGCAATAGTAAAAGTGACCAGAAGGTCGTTATTGAACTCAGCTGTTCTGTTTTGCTGAGTGGATCCATCTGGGGTTGCAGGAGGCAAATGGTCCCTTCTATGAAGACACCTCAGTTGTTATGTTCATAATGCTCTATTCCTGGTAATGTCTTCTGTAAATCAAACTTGTACTCCTGCTTAGAAGGAGAAGACATGATTTTCTTGTCTGCTTGCTTCCTGGTAATGACTTGATTCTTTTGAAAATATAGGAAAGCAAGAAAAATGGCCAAGAGATGAATTTATTATTCTTTTTTTTCTTTTTTCTTTTTAGGAAAAAAAAAGCTTAATGAGTAATTTCACATGAGTGTTCTCAATGTTGAGAAGAATTGTTTTCTACTTTGTAAGCCTGTAGAATAAAAAGTATTTTTTCCAAAGAAAATTTAGGCAATGAAACACCATAGTGTTTGTTGAGTTCGTTGTTCCTAATTTTATTTTCTTTATTTTTTTTCTCTGTCCTCAACAATCTAGCAGCTGAGTGGAAGGCAGCATTACAGTCTCAGGGCTGAAAATCAGGGCAACACCGGTTCACTCCAGAAAGGATCATTTTTGAGTGGCAATCAGAAAAACAAAGTGAGTGCTTTAGTTCATTTAGTATTGGACCTGAATGCCTTAGTGCTTATTTTGGCACTCTCATTAGAGTGAGAGTCCTTTTCTCATGATTAACAGGTAATGCTGTTTTCATACATCAAATGTTTTTGTTCAAGTACAGACTGATACAGAACTTACACAAGTTTTTAAATGAATTCTTTCCAATGTCATATGATTTAGATAATAAGATTTCAAAACCACTATTGTTTACCGAGCTGAGCCTTGATCTATGGTCATGTACCTGTAAGTTTACTAAGCAGTTAAACCTGTCTGAGAAGTAATAAGCAATTGAATCTGCCTGCAAATTAAGGCATTAAGAGTATAATTTATGAATACTACCAATCTGAGAACATGCTTTCGAAAACATTTTGAGTCATCATCTTAGTTTAATTAACCTCAGTGATCTTTTTCATGTTGATAACTTCTAAAAATTGTAAGCAAACCTAACCAAACTTAAATCTCAAACTAAGCTGATTAGAATTTAAGAACGATTCTTAAGAAAAGCTGTACTATAAATATATTGTAGCCTATTTTCAGAAGTTAAATCCCTGCAAGTTCTGCTAGTGTCAGTATGAAAATTTCTGTCATCTGAGCATGTTATCAATTAAATGTCGAACTTGGACATTTAGATCTTATAAATATCTTTGTTTCATTGTTGTTTGTTTTTTGTTTATTTGTTTGCTAGCCACAGAGTAAGCAAGATGATGAATTCTGCAGCATATGGCAATCATTGCAGGGTTCTGGGAAGTCTCACCACATTCAGCAAAGTACGCATGAGAAGGTTAGTATAAAATCTTTAAACAGCTCCCTGAGACCAAAATCTCAGTGTACTTATTTTAATATATCAGCTTATCATACTGACCAACTTCTCAGTCAGTGTTGAAAATGAGTCGTTTTCAAGATATTGGTCCGCAGGGTGTGCATAGCTTTGTAAAGAAGTAATCATAAGGAGCTAATGTTGGAAGGATAGATGTGTAATATTCTGGTAAAGTTTAGATGTTTGAATCCTTTAGGGTGCAGTTCTACCTCAAGAAGTCAAGCTGGGAACTGGCAATCAGTTCTACAAGCCAGGCTTCAATGAGAGCAGCCTTAAAGGCCAGCAAAGAAAACAGGAGCCATATAAAAAATGTAAGTACTGTATCTAAAAACTTGAGGAGAGCTTGCTTGCTTATCCAACTTTTATTGAAATACCTATTAATTTTTTGTAGTTATTGACAGAAAATAATAACTGCAGTTGGATGAGAACTGCATTGCACACATTATTGTGAAACACCACTCTTGGTTTGTGTACTAGTTTGTTTCACACTTAATCCTGAACACTTTTAATCAAGTTGTTCATGATGTTGACTTTCTGCTCGCATAATTAAAAGTTTTTTTCTTTTGTTTTAACTTGCTTGCAGACAGGCATGTTTCTTAGAGCAAAATTAATTTAGAGGTATACAATTGCATACATTTGACGTGTATATTTTATCCTGCAAAAAAAGTGTTCATTTGATTGAAATTCTGCTATGTGCACTTTTATGGATTTGTTAATATTTTGAGGTTTAATGAAACTCAGTATTTAAGATCATTACAAAAAATAAGCATACTTTTACATGATTTGTTTGTAGTTAAAGAAGATTCTAAAATTACAAGAAGTGAAAGTCAGCCTCATAATAAAATATCAAATAAACAGGTAACTTATTCTTCTATATGGAGTAAATATATTCTGGTTTTTGTTTCCCGTGTTTTGTTTTTTTTTGTATTTTTTTCATTTTCCTCTGAGCTAATTAATACTTTTACTGCTTTATCTTTACTGGGCATCTTAGTTCATTCTTTTCCTAGATAAATTTTAAGCTGTTGTTGTTGTTGTTATTATTATTATTATTATTATACCTAAGTGAGAGTAAGCACAACATACATATAAGGATGATACTGAATAATAACAAGAATCTCCAGAAGTTTTTTATTCCTGTCCTATCCTTTTCCTATTCTTTTTAAACATTAAAAGCTATAGAAAGAAAATGGCAACAGTAGATTTTTCAGTAAGCTGAGCTCATTTAAGGATGTTAGCTTGTGAAAGCTCTCTTCAGATACATTTCTAATACGCTTGCCTTATATCTAGCAGCGGAGGAGTAGAATTCAAAAGTAAATGCTGCAGTTTGTTTCAGAATTTTGCAGGACATAAGTATAATGTCAAACTTTTGAAGAGAAATGAAAGTCCCAGTGTGCCTGTAATGCAGAAGACTTCAGTTGACGGTCCATGTACAGCTAGAAAGGTAGGATCCAGATAGTTCATTCTCTTGTGCTCTTTGAATAATTTCAGTTTATGAGCTATTTTTTCCCTGTTATTCCTGTTGATGTGTACATGATGTCTGTGTACATTGATGTTTATAGCAGATACAAGACAAATCTGAATAGCCTTGATCATTTTAAAATCAGTTCTTTGTTGGTCACTGCTTATATTTTTATATGCAAAAATTTATGTAGCTCTGGATATCTGTTTATGCTCAGACAAGGCTGAATCAGAATAAAATTAAGCTAAAATACTTTTCCTTTTGCATCTTCCTATAATTTTCTTTTAACAAGGACAATGAGCTTGAAAGCCTTCTAGCTTCTTTGAAAATTCCCAAAGAAAATGAAGTGCAGAATAACACCAAGGAAGCAAGAGCTACGAACGAAGAACATCTGTCACCACAGTCATTTGCTATGGTGTGTATACTGCAGGAATCGTTGCATAATAATTTAGCATCTTGTGTCTTAGCATCCAAGCTACTATTTAAAGGAACTCATTCAAACCTCTTCCTGCCTTCTTAAACACATATGTGAGTTTATAGTCAGCTCTTCTGGGGAAAAAAAAAATACTTTATGATAAGACGCTGTTTTCTGTGCTTTCATAACATAGAACTGATGGAAAATAACATTTCAATATTACCATTTATGACATTAACAGAGTTAACTAGATAATGCTTCTGAACACCATCGTTTTTCTAAATGGTTTATTTTTCTTTTACAGAAAGGAACACAGATGCTCAAAGAAATCTTGAAGATAGACAGTCCTGACCTGGAAACCAAGAATGAAGTGAAATCCCAAGTTAATGATGTTCCCACTCCCCTCAGTAGACAGGATTCCCATGGAGCTGCCTTGCAATATAGACAAACAAAAAAAATGGGTATGTTTAGGTATCACCTGGTAGTTCAGAGCTTCATCTTATAATGACAGTTCAGTACAGACTTAACTTGCTGAATTGCACTTACTTTCAGAATGAAATAAAAACTCTTTTTCAAGTTGGCTTCTTTATTCAGAACTGAAAATTTACAGTATAATCTTCTATTTTGTGTTCAAGACAGTTGTGAAGATACAAAAAAAAAAATCAAATATACTTTATTTTCTACTAGTAACAAAGTTGCTGCCTTTTTGTAGAAGGAAAAAATTGTGATGCAACTTTCTTTTGCTTTTGCTAGCTGCTTATATGAACAAGCCTCATAACATTGGAGGCCCTCAGAATGCATCAGCACTGGAAACTGGAGGTCACCCTTTTATTGGTCCACAGCCTACACTGTCAACTCCTGTTTCTGAGCTTTTTCATATTTGTTCTCTACTTGGAATGTCACAACCTGATTTCTCTTTCCTGAAAACACCACAGGTAAAGCTTATTTTTCATAGACATTAAAATTTTCAACTTCATTTCTGCTACACTATAATAAAGATTTTTAACTGGTCACTGAAATCCTTTTAAAGCCAAGATCATAACTCCTTTTGTTTATTTCTAAAGTAGTATTGATTAAACATAGTAACATTGATTAAGCAAACACTCTTCACTCAATTTCCAGTTCACTTTTTGTATAGTATAATTCCTCAAACAATCTTATCTCATTTTCCTAGACCATGACAGTTTGTCACATAAAGTTATCCAATGGTTTGTTGGTTCATGGACCACAGTGTCATTCTGAAACTGAAGCCAAGGAAAAAGCTGCACTTTTTGCTTTACAGAGATTGGTGAGAACAGCTAAGAATTTTTAGAAATTTTTGTCTCTCTTTATTGCATTCTGTCTGTTTGTAATCCACCATTTTCCTCTTCAAAGAGCTCTATAGGAGTGAACTTTCCATTGTCTCCACCTCCACCAGTGTTTCCAAACTATCAACCTCTGGGTGTTCCTGTACCACCTGGATCTATTCCTCCAGTCTTTACACAGCCCCCTGGTAAGTATTTGATTAATACATATTTAAAGTATTTTCATAATCACCTGTAATTGTAGCAGCTGTTTATATGAAAAATGAGTGCCTTCCAGAAAAATGTATTTTTTGGACTTCCTGCATATAGTTATACCTCTGAACTTTGAAAATGGTTTGTTAACTTCTTCTCAGGAATGTGCAAATGAATTTAAATTAAGATTTAAAAAATGAAAGTTGCATGTTTTCTAATTCTTGTTCCTTTCTTCTTTTCTTCAGGAATATATCTGTCCATTCAGTGTTAGTTGGTTTTCTCCTTCAAAGCCAAAGTAATCAGTCAGTTGCTAGTCTAGCATTCATGAAAATATCTTCCTTGAGTATCTGTTTTTTGTCTGAATAATTTTTATCCGTCTATTAGTTATTTATTTAGAATTAGATTAGAATTGTTTTAAAAAAAAATTGTTAAAAATTGTTAAATCGCAGTGATATCTTGATTTCATCTGTTTAGTATTGTACTAAATTATTAGCCGTACATCCACAGCTAATAATGATTCAGCACCACTGTTGAATCTTAGTAACCTACTCAGCAGCTGCTCCATCCTTTCTACCCTGAGTTTCTGTGCTGTTGACTGATGCAGAAGGGTAGCCTGAACTTCCCTTCTACTAATGGGAGTTTACTCAGAGAGGAATGTGGCAATCCTGACTAGCTTGTGTGTGCTTGGAAATGCAAATGCAGTGACCCAGTGCTCTCAACCATGACATCATCTAAATGCGGTTCTCTAAAAACAGAACTGTCATCTACTTAAACATCTACGAATAATATTAGGTCTTACTGGAAAGAGAAACAGTGTGCTTTTGGTTTGGGTGAGATGCTATACTGTTTTTGAAGAAAGAGAGCTAAAAGTTGTTTATTTTTACAGCAAATATAATGCCTCCATCATCTCACATGTTTGGTCCAATGTCCTGGGGAGCTCCAGTGCCTATTCATGGCAAACATTATTATCCTGGTGCCTATCCAGGAAATATGCCTCTTGCAGGAACTATACCAGTTGGTACTCACAACCAGTTTATACCTCTACAGGTAAGTTTGGCAGGTTAGTCTTAAGACTTCTATTTTTGTAAAAAAGGTATATACGTGATGAATGCAGAGAGACCCCTGAGAAACATTAGTGCTAAAAGATGATTTTTTTAAAGTGATATGCATGTTTTTAACTTTGGAATATTTGCAGGGTTTTTCTTTTTTTGAGTATGCCTTCTGTTAAATAATATTTATTTAATTTAAAGGTAACTAAAAAAAGGGCTGCTAGCAAGAAAAACTTTGAGTTCAAGGAGTTTCAGAGTTCCCCTCAAGCTGCACCACTAAGGAATGAACAGCCAGTGTCTTCTGACCACATTCAGCAAGATAGTTCTTCAGCTCCTTTAAAATCTACTCAAGCTGCTCAATCCACTGTTTCATTTCAAGACAATGTGAATACTCCAAGCGTTCCTCATAACAAATCAACACCAAACACTTCCAGCAAGCGAAAGCCAAGAAAGCTGGCTGTCAATTTTGGCGCACCAAAATCTTCAGACTAAATATGGTAGCTAGGTGGATTTTATCTTTAACTCTTCCCCCAATGTTTTGTTACATCATTTAAAAAAATCAGAAAGCTCTATTAAATTAAACAGCCTTTTAAGGATAAAATAGAATGAAATACATTTTATTTGCTATGCTTTCCAGGTTGTTATGAAAACTATAGAAATGATGTTAAAACTAATTATTTTGATTAAATTAATAAAAGCCAGGAAAATGCTGAGTTAAGGTTACCATGCCATCCATTGTGCCTAGGTTTCTGAACAGTGGCTTACAAACTCTACTGGGTGAGCAGCAATAACAGTGGCAACCCTAATTCAGAATTGCCTTGCTTTTTGGGTGGGATATGGAGCAGTAATAAGTTGGGCATCAAACATCGCTTAGTATGATATTTTGTATTCTAGCTTATTTTTAAATAGAAGATTGAAATAAAAATAAAAATAACTTAAATGCAGTTTTCTTATCGGCTCTCCAGGTCTTTTTGATCTGAATCGGTATGAATAGAACCTAACTACAGTGGAACTGCCAAATTTCTTATAACTGTGAACTGTAAGTTTTATACCAAAGGCCAACAACTGTACAAATTTCAGAATTTAGATAATAGTCTCTGGAATTAGAGTGGCAAAAGTGGTTGCTGATGCAGAACCAGTTCCAGGAGATAAATTTGTAGAATGTATAGAATTGAAGAAAAAAAAGTGCATCTACAAATTAGAGTCCTCTCTGATAAAGTATATTAAATTTTTGAACTAGCAGTTTTATTGATTTCATTGTTTTGGTAAATTAAGCCAGATAGCTACTACAAATCTACATGCCCCCCTAAAATGCCAGTAATGTCCTGAAGTTTTTTTAATTACAAAAATGAGCAGAGTATAAAGATGTCCGTTTGTATAGTTTGACTGTCAAAATTATGCTTGTTCAGATTCCGTTTTTCCCTCCAACAGTCTGTGCCCTGAAACTTTCTCTATAGTACATTGTTTTGTTGGTAGGTGACTTAATATTTAGTTTTGTGGCAGAAGTTCTGTGTAGCAAAACCAACATTAAATGGTCATAAATTATTAGCATTAGTTCCGTAATGATATCCAGGCAAAAATTTGACTTGCATTTCTGGAGGGAGCTGTGTTTTAGGAAGTAACACCATTCTGTTCATGCTTCAAAAAAAAAAGGTCCCTTTGCTGTTTTAACTCATATATACAGTTCTCATTCACATTAATAGGAATTCTTCATTTTAAGATTTTTTTAATTTGAAGCTTTAGTTGTTATTGTTTTACTGGCATTCATTGGATCTTTTTTCATTTTCTTCTTTGCTCTGATCTGTTCCAGGAAAAAAAAAATTCTCTAAGCTTAGAAAGCTTAGTAATAAAGCACAATTTCTTCTTCAGTGATCTGCTTTGTTGCCTTCAAACAGGTTTCCTGGTGGACCTGCAAATCTGTATACTTAAATTTCCCCATTTAGTTCTTTGCCTTGATTCCTTGATTTTGGCAGGGCTCACATTATTATTTGATGA